CAAATATGGCTAGAAATAGAAATTATGTCTCAATAATAACCCTGAATATTAATGGCCTAAACTCAACAAACAAAAGACATAGACTGGCAGATTGCATTTAAAAAAAAAGACCCAACAATATGCTGCCTCCAAGAGACTCATAAGATAGGAAAAGACATTCAGAGACTGAAGATGAAATGTTAGGAAAAATCATACCACTTATATGGACTATGGAAACAAGCGGGCGTTTCCATCCTCATATGAAATAAAATAGACTTCAAGCAAAATTAATCATAAAAAATATCAAAATAGATCAATTTCAAAAAATGAAATAGAAGATGCCATCAAAAACCTACCAACCAAGAAAAGCCCAGGACCATATGGGTCCATAGCTTAGTTCTATAAGACCTTTAAAGAAGAACTAATACCATTACTCTTCAAATTATTTCATGAAATAGAAAAAGAGGGAACACTTCCAAACTCAATCTATGAAGCCAATATTATCCTGATTCCAAAACCAGGCAAAGACACATCAATGAAAGAAAACTTTGGATCAATATCTCTAATGAACATAGATGCAAAAATTCTCAATACAATTCTGGCAAATTGAAAACAATAACATATCAAAAAGATAGTGCACCGTGATCAAGTGTGGTTCATTCCAGGGATGCAAGGTTGGTTCAACATATGGAAATCAATAAATGTAATTCATCATATCAATAGACTTAATGATAATGACCATACGATCATCTCAATAAATGCAAAAAAAAAAAGCATTTGTCAAAATACAGCACCCCTTCATGTTCAAAACACTTGAAAAACGAGGGATAACAGGAACATCTCTCAACATTGTAAAAGATATCTACACTAAGCCCCAGGTCAATATCATTCTAAATGGGGAAAACTGAAAGCATTCTCTCTAAAAACTTGAACAAGACAAAGATGCCCTCTTTCACCACTTCTGTTTAATATAGTTCTTGAAACACTGGCCAAAGCAATTAGATGAAAGAAATTAAAGGGATATGGATAGGAAAAGAAGAACTCTAATTAGCACTACTTGGTGATGACATGATTCTATACTTAGATGACCCCCCCAAAAAAATTCACCTGAAAACTTCTAGAATACATGAATTCAGCAAAATAGCAGAATATAAAATCAACACCCATAAATCAAAGGCATTCCTGTATGTCAATAACAAATACTCTTAAAGGGAAATGAGGAAAACTACCCCGTAGCCTCAAAAAAATGAAAATACTTGGGAATCAACTAAACAAAAGAGATGAAAGTCCTCTACAATAAAAACTACAGAATGCTATAGAAAAATAAAAGAAGACCTTAGAAGATGGAAAGATCTACTTGTTCTTGGATAGGCAGAATAAATATTGTCAAAATTATCATACTACCAAAAACATTACACAGATTTAATGCAATTCCAATCAATATCCCAATGACATTCCTCCTAGAAATAGGAAAAGCAGTCATGAAATTTATCTGGAAAAAATAAGAGACCTAGAAGAGCTAAAGCAATCCTTAGCAAGAAGAGTGAAGCAGGTGGCATCACTATATCTGAACTTAAACTGTACTGCAGAGCAATAGTAAGAAAAACACCATGGTATTGGCACCAAAATAGACTGGCAGACCAATGGTATGGAATAAAGGACACAGAAATTAACCCACATAATGACAGTTATCTTATATTAGACAAAGGCACCAGAAACATTCACTGGAGAAAAGAGCTCTTCAACAAATGGTGTTGGGAAAATTGGAAATTCATATGCAACAAAATAAAATCAAACCCCTATCTCTCTCCATGCACAAAACTCAACTCAAWGTGGATCAAGGACCTAGGAATTAAATCAGAAACCCTATGTCTATAAGAAAAAAAGGAGGCCCAAATCTCCATCATATAGGCTTAAGCTCCTACTTGCTCAATAAGACTGCTATAGCCCAAGAGTTAAAAATCAAGAATCAATAAATGAGATGGATTCAAAAAGAAACAATCAGTGAGATGAATAGAGAGCCTATATTTTGGGAGCAAATTACTACATGCATATCAGATAGAGCACTAATCTCTAGGATATATAAAGAACTCAAAAATCTTAACACCAAAAATCAAATAATTCAATCAATAAATGGGCTAAGGAACTGAACAGACCCTTCTCAGAAGGTGACAAAGAATCAACAAATATATTTWAAAAATGTTCAACATCTCTAGCCATTAGAAAAATGCAAAATTTTCATCTCACTCCAGTCAGAATGGCAGCTATTAAGAAAACTTTAGAAGATGGAACGATCTACTTTGTTCTTGGATAGMCAGAATCAATATTGTCAAAACGACCATACTACCAAAAGCACTATACAGATTTAATGCAATTCCAATCAAAATCCTAGTGACATTCCTCACAGACATAGAAAAAGCAGCCTTGAAATTAACCTGGAAAAATAAGAGACAACAATAAGTTATTGGCAAGGATATGGGGAAAAAGGTACACTCCTACCATTGCTGGTGGGACTGCAAAATGATGCAGCCAATATGCAAAGCAGTATGGCAATTCCTTGGAAAACTGAGAATGGAACCACTATTTGACCCAGCTATCCCACTCATTGGTCTATACYCAAAGGACTTAAAAACAGAATACTACAGGGACACAGCCACATTAATTTTACAGCAACACAATTCATAATAGCTAAACTGTGGAATCAACCTAGATGCCCTTCAGTAGATGAATGAATAAAGAAAATGTGGTATATATATACACAATGGAATATTATTCAGCATTAAAAGAGAATAAAATCATGGCATTTGCAGATAAATGTATGGAGTTGGAGAATATAATGCTAAGTAAGCCAATCCGCCCCCCCCCAAAAAAAAAAAACAAATGCTGAATATTTCCTCTGATATAAGGAGGCTGATTCACAATGGGGGAGATGGGGAGCATGGGAGGAATAGACCAACTCCGGGGAGGGAGAGAAAGGGAGGGATCATGGGTGTAGGAAAGATGGTGGAATGAGATGAACATCATTACATGTATGAAGACAAGAATGGTGTGACTCTACCTTGTGTACAACCAGAGATATGAAAAACTGTACTGTATATGTGTAATATGAATTGTAATGCATTCTGTCACATATAACAAATTAAATTTTAAAAAATTTTTAAATGTCAATAATAGAATTAAATAGCAGAGGTAAAAGAATAAAATCTACCTATATTCATCACCATACTTTACTCTTGAAAAACAAGCCAAAGAAACAAATCAGAAGAGATGGATAATTCCATTTATATAAAAGTCTAATTGAYAAAATAAAACAGTATGCCTTTTATGTGACATGACTATAAAGAAATCCTAGGAAGTTTAAAACAGACTGCAAGAGAGTGTTGTTCAAGATTGGCTGGAAGGGAGAACTTGACAGCAGAGTTCAAACAAATTAGTAGTAAATTTCCATTTCTTAAGCTGAATTAGAGGCTCCAAACTATCCATATCAGCTATATGTATTCTTCTGTGGCATTATCTGTTTCATAATAAATTTGAAGTGACTCCAAAAAATCCAAAGTGCTGTTTTAAATTACCTTTTTGTTCATCTCACTTAAAAAAAAAAAAAAAGTCTTTGCTTAAAAATGGTCCTTTAACTGTTATAAATATATTGCTTGTTATCTGGTATTTTAAAGACTTCTCATAAAAAAATACTATGAAATACATTCATGGGTACTCTGTATATTGCACACTAAATTCCTTTGCAAAGAAATTCTAAAATGCAAAGGACCTTAAGGCTTTATGCAGAAATATAGACTTCAATGACTTACAGTCATACAATCACAGCTTTTATTTACACCAACTAAAGGCACCCCACGTTTGTCTAATGAAATCCTTTGAACTTTTTAGTGATTATTAAGACAAACACAGTAAGTGGTATAAATGAACCCAGAGGGAAGCTATCATCTAAACATGGTATATCAGATTTTAATCACAGATTGTCACATGAAGTCTCAAAACAGATCTCCTTTGCATAACGCAATTGTGGGACTAAATTGAAGACCCCAGCTAGGTATCTAAATTTGAATGACAATTCTGTGGCTTTGGGAGAATTCATACTCAGTTTCCACAAAATTATAATAACCAATTAAGATTTTTTTCCCCAATTTCTGCATCACCATTTGATGGTATTTTTATGAGCACTCATTCTAAAATCTCCGGAGCAAGGCAGATACCAACTCCACCAGATGAAATCCTTAAAATCAATATCCACCGTTTTCAAACCACATTATTAACCAGCAACAGATTCGAGAAACCCCCAAATATTTTTGGAACAAGATTATCTTCCAGATCTCCAGATCTCCCTTTCAGGGGGCTACCGAGAAAGAGCAATGGTGGAAAGATTGCAGAGGCGTTAGGAGAGTCCGTTAATCATATGGTCAAAAGTTAGTCAGGTAGGACCTCCTTGCAAATCAATCAAACCCCCTCGTTTTGCGGATGGAGAATGTAACTCACGAAGAGGCACACCTGTTTTAGTTTAATCAGCTAGTTAAGCCTGTCTCCTCTGGTCCTATCCTGCGGCCCTTCCCATGCCCACCCAGAGGTACATCTATTTGCTAATAACTCGGAGCAAGTGAAAGAATTGACAGCTCCGTAATGTCAGGACTAGAAACGGCCATAGGTAATCTCGTCAACCTTTTTTCTCAGACCTGGGGGAATTGAGCTGTAAAGTGACATAGCTGGGGGTTACAGACTCTCTGCTACCTAGCAGCGAAAGCCAGTCATTAACACTGAGGACCCCGCTTTCCAGCTTTAGGTACGTGGGCATCAAAAAGAAGCCCGAAACACAGACTTCATTCAGCAAGCATGTCTCCGCCTCCCACGCAGAACCTCGAAGAGGGGAGGTGGGCTAACTGTCACGGTCAGTGCACATTCCCGTGAACACTGCGGCGGAGCGGACTCCCAACTCCCTCCTAGCTCTTTGACTCGGTCCGAGGGGAGAAGAAGAAACAGCAAGGCTGCGGTGCCTTCCGCAAAAGAAGTACCTGAGGCTCGCGCCGCAGTCTGCCGCCACTACAGCACCGGAGCCCGCCACCCCACTTCCGGGGTTGTGTCGCCGCTAGAAAGCCGGAGCTCCTGGAGAGCAGCCTCGGGCGCCKCCTCTCCAAGTCCCGGCTCCACTGCCCACTCCGCCCGGACCCGGACAACTTCCGGAACGCCGCGCGTCACTAAGCAGCTGATTCCCACTTCCGTAGGCAGAACCTGCTCAAGCCCTTCCCCAGCCTAGTCCGGAACTGCGTGACGAAGTTCGCTGCTTCCGCGTATTTGATTGGCGGAGCTGGAGCAACGGCCTTCGCTGATTGGTGCCGGGGAAATCATCCCCACMGACTCCCGCGGGGTGTTCGCTTTCAGTCCGCCCGTTTCCCGCCGGTCGCGAGCGTAATCATGGTTGACTTAATGGAGTTGCCCAAGGCCCGCGTCAACGCCAGCATGCTCTCTCAGTTCATCGACAGGCCGGTCTGCTTCGTAGGAAGGCTGGAAAAGGTGCGCGGGCTCGCGGTCTTAGGATCTCCCAGTGGGTAGCCGTGACCTCCTGGGTGGTGGACTCAGGGTAACGGTAGGAGAACCGAAAGCYTCAGCCTCATTCCCCTCCCTTTTGCTTTGTTTCGCACCAGAAAACTTTCCCCACACTTTAGCCATTGCAGCTCTGTTTGGGCGCCACTTGCATGGCGCGGAAACTAAGTGGTTTCGAATGCCCTGGGTTCCAAATTCCAGCGCCCCTCACCCACTTGTGTATTTATATGAATTACATACTTGACTCCCTGTCTGCCTTCTCAGTTTGGGGTTTAGCCAGATTTGACTGATGCCAACTAAGCTCATCCTCCCGTTTCCTTCTGTAATTGTCTTTGATGAACGTCGTTTTCTGCTTAAATTTGCTTCTCCATAAAACATTTATTTGATTGTCGCTCCCAGATGTCGCAGTAGCCCATTATCTTACCCCAGGTTACGGTGCAGCTCACTCATCCTACAGGCAAGAAACAGACCCAAAGTCTTGGTGTCAGTGACTTCAGAGCACTGAAGGAAAACCATTTATAAAGGCTTCCGTGACTCTTTTCATCCTCATCCACTGAGTGAAATCAGTTATTCTTATATGACAGGGGCAGGTGCCACCCAGGAGTAGAATCCAGATTTTCTAGCAATCAGTTCTTTTACTCCATGCTTAGTTTTTATTACATATTCTTCATGGAATATGTACTGTCTAAATCATGACTGCCAGAAGATTCCACTTTTACCTCCTTTTATTTGATTTTAGCATAGGGTTACCAGATTTTCTAAATGAAAATAGGAACCTCTAATGAATAAATAACTTCATTGTTTATCTGAAATTCAAAATTAATTAGGCATCCCATGACCAGATCTAATGACACTTGATTGTAATTTGAACCAAATAATTAAGTAAGGGTCAATCTGTTCATCTTTGGTAAAATTATGTAGGTTTAGTGACATATTTAAAAGTTTTGTTTATGTGGAAATTTTAAAATTGTATATTTATTTTTTTTAGATTCATCCCACTGGAAAGATGTTTATTCTTTCAGATGGAGAAGGAAAAAATGGAACCATTGAATTGATGGAGCCTGTATGTTTAAGTATTAACTTCTATATTATGTTTGATTCTTTATCTTGGATTGGTTTGTTGGTGTTTCTGATTGTTTGGAGTGAATATAAGAAGGAGCTTATAAAACTTCCCTAGCTGACCCACCATGCCCACCTGTAATCCCAGTGCTTCCGAGGCTGAGACAGGAGGATCAGGAGTTCAAAGCCAGTCTCAGCAAAAGCAAGGCACTAAGCAACTCAATGAGACCCTGTCTCTAAATAAAATACAAAATAGGGCTGGGAATGTGGCTCAGTGGTCAAGTGCCCCTGAATTCAATCTCTGGTACCCGCCCCCACCTAAAAAAAAAAAAAAAAAAAGACCTTCCCTAGCTGTAAAATTAAATTCCTGTTCTCTTGTTGTATTTTCCTTTACATTTTCAACTTATGATTCTTTGGGCTTACGATTTTTTTAATATATCCTTTAAGTGTTGGTTGAGTAACAGTTCTCATTCCTTATGAAAGACTATAAAGTCACATAATAAAATTTTTCTGTTTACTTCTTCCTTCCTCAAGAATTTGAGTTTCTGTCTTTCTCTTTTAATCTTTTTTCTTTCTCTCCCACCCCTCACACCCCTTCCTTCCCTGAGTCAGGGTCTTGCTATGTGCCCAAGATGATCTCCAACTGCTGGAGATCCAAGCAATACTCCTGCCTCAACCTCCTGAGTAGCTGAAACTATAGGCAGATGCCACCAAACCTGACTTTTATTTTTATTTTTGTTTTACATATTTTTGGTTGTCATTTATGCATTTAATGTTTAATGCATTTAAAAACACTTGCTTGGCTCTTATGAAGATAAATCTATTATGCTGTTTGGTCAGTGTGTACATTTCACTCTTTTTGAAATACAAATTATATGAAGTTCCTCTCATTGGGTCTTTTTAAAACAAATTACTGTTTGTAGAAATTCTGGACATTTTCAATAACCTACAACTAAAAGGTAATAGGATTTGTAACATACTGACAGTTAACTACTTAACATTTTTTAAAAAGCTACACTTCAGTTTTAACATTAGCAAATTTTAAAGTTACTTTGTTACAATGAAAGATTAATAAATTGTATAATTTGAAAGATAAGTAAACTATATAACAGTTTTCCAAATTAATTATCAACTAAAAATAAGATAACACCAAATTAACATTCAATGTTTTAGCTTGATGAAGAAATTTCTGGAATCGTGGAAGTAGTTGGCAGAGTAACAGCAAAAGCAACCATCATGTGTGCATCTTATGTCCAGTTTAAAGAAGATAACAATCCTTTTGGTAAATAAAGCATTCTAGTATTTAGTGGTTTTATGTAAGTAGGAGGAAAGCAATTCTCTTCTTATTATGTGTTGGTATTGACTCACAGRCCTGCCATATTTTCAATTTCTATAGTTTTCCAATCCCATAGAAAAATGGGAGGACATTTTTCCCTGCTTCTTAGTTTTTGCTTGTATACAAAGAAAACTCAACAAAGTCTAATATTTATAGAAATTTTTTAAATATGATAAAAATCATATTTATTTTAATATATGAATTGAAGGCATGGAACAATGCAGTAATGCCTAAAATGGACCAGGCAGAAACTGCCTATAATGGACAACAAAGTAGATTGTCTCCTATTTTCCATGTCTCTTCTATTTTTTAACTACAAAAAATATGATTTATGTCTGAATTTTAGAAATTGGGTTGTGAAAATAAGTTGAAGGAGAGAAAAAGGGAGAGAAAAGAGAAATAGAAATCTTTTAGATAATAATTGATGTTACAGCTTTTCATGGTGAATTTAATGTTTGCTTACATGTTTCTTTCAGATCTTGGACTTTATAATGAAGCTGTGAAAATTACCCATGAGTTCCCTCAGTTTTTTCCCTTAGGGGTTACACAACGTGATTGATCTTACTGAATTTTCTTGTGATTGCAAGTGGCTATGATGAAGATAATTAAAGGAGGTCCCACTTGTTTGAGGGAGAGACTCCTATGATTTCTAATATTTAATTTGCTCCATTTAAATTTTCATTTACTGAACTTTAGACATCCTAATCTGCATTTTTGTTGAAACTGATATATTTACTGTTCTCACCCAAGTCCTTTTATAAACTGTTGCCACTCCATTATGTGGTCAGATAAGATATAAGATCAAAGCAGTTGTCAATAATCTAAGTTTCTATTTTATTAATAAAAAGTTAAAATAATGCATACTAGTAATCATTTCATTTTTATTTAGTCCTGAATTCAAACATAAGCTTGGAATTTCATAACTGTAGATCAGGTCTTAGAACTACTAAATGAAGCCTTGGGCCAACTATGTGAAAGATATGCTCACCATCTCATAAATTCTGCCATATTAGTTAGTTGATACTCTAGTTAAAGTAATTTTTATGAAAAGGAACAAGTAGAAATCTACATCTTCTGTAATTTGTGAAGTATCTTTCTTTCTGAGTTTAAAAACTGAACATATACTAATGCCAAACAAAGGGTACATGATCATCAAGAGTTAGTGGATTCACTTGTTTTTATTTTTTTGTTGTGCCTCCCCCCCCCCTGCACTTTCAATTGCAATTACCCTTAGTATGGAATTCCTGTCTACACCAGGTAATATTAGGAGTGAGCAAGGAGAGATACGGCAGGTATAAGACAAGATTCCACAGAATAACTATGATGGCCTATGTAGCCAGTTAGGTTTTATGGCTTAACCAGTTCTCTTCAGTGAGGAAGTAAAATAATTCCAGGCTCACATACTTTGTAAGCTGTACAAAAATGTTTTATTTTAAATTAATGTAATCTTAAATTTTAACTTATTATCCCCAAATATTTTCCAGATTACTTAAAAGACATAGCCAAAGCTAAAACATTTTATTATAAAACAAAGACAATTGGTTGAAAATTGGTTATGATGAATAATGCTATTATGAACAGCCAGTCTCAATGTTGTCTTGCATGCCGAGACTAGGGTCAAGCCCTTAATTCTGTGTTAACCCCTGAAAGTCGGTGCTATTAAATGTTGAGAGTGCCCTTAAACCTTCTCTTAAGTTACTATATTTAGTAAGATGGGCTACATGAATTTAGGATCAGTCAAATCTTCTATGTTAATGTTTATGATTCCATATCTCTAACCCCAATGTTGTTTCTAGGCTGCTCAACATCTATACCTATTATGTCCCACCAGCACTGCATTTTGAATGACTATAATTTGAACAAGTATAGCTCCCCTACCACACGTTCCAGTTTTTTCTTATAATAATTTCATTGAGATAAGTCATATGCTTTTTTGTTTTAGATTGTACAACCCTCATCATAATAAATTGTAGAACATTTTTGTCACCCTCAAAGTAAATTCTGTACCGTTTACCTACAATAGCCTAATCCTGTCATGATCACCTATTGCCCTAACCCTAAGCAATCACTGATTTGCAGTTGCCCCCTTATCCCTAGTTTTGCTTCCCTTGGTTGCTTTCCTGTAGACAACTTCTGTCTGAAAATATTAAATGGAATATTGTAGAAATAAACAGTTAATAAGGTTTAAATTGTTCCCTGTCCTGAGTAATATGATAAACTCCTACACCATCTCCTTACATCCTGCCCAGGACAGGAATC